CTTGGAGCATCAATGAGATTGTATATTTCGGGCTGGATGCTTGACCAATTTGTCTTATCCAATATCCATGGGAGGGTGCTGTGACAAATGGACCTGTCAGACGAACTCCGCTCACTTTAATGTTAATTTTGCCGAATAACTGTGCTTATCACTGGGTGACAAGCTGTTATAATACGCTGAAAGCATTATATAAATAATATATCTATAACATGTAATTAATATAACTTCTCTCTAATACAACAACAAACTCTGTACTGCATCCGATGTCATTCCCTCGATGTAAATGCTTGCACTCCTGTTTTTTTCCTGCAACTTTTTTACAAACCGGTAATTTGTCTATAGGTGAATTAAATAAACTAAATCAGCTGTATGTGTTTGAATAAGTGTGTACGTGTTTCCCAGTACTGGGTTGCTGCTGGAACAGACAAACTACATAACATTTCATTAATGCAGGTCTCAGAGACCTGTTTATTGTAACTTGATCAGCTGATTCACTAAAAAGAATCTGATTTAAACACCCTAAATACATCTGTAGTAACAAGTATTTTTGTTCTTCTGATCACAAGTGGATGATGCTTAAAATAGGCATAAACTGGCTGCAAATATTTTGAGTTTGTCCATGTATTTTGAATGTATTGCTTTTGTAGTGTAGTGAGTCAAATGTGCCTAAATAGCCACTAATGCACCTAAAAGTGCTTAGTAAAGCAGGTTAGTCACATGTTTTCAGACAGAGCAGTATTTACTATCTATGTTGTAATACCAAGGGCGTAGATTCACTCTTGACATTGGTGGGGACATACATAGGGTACATGCTCTGAACAGCACAAATTCTGTTTCAAGCTTTTAAAAACATATATAAAGTACATAATAAAAACAAATAAACACTTATTAATATAAAGACCAATCCTGACCCTTGCTGCAAAAGTATATTGACATGATTTTACTGCAGTCAGGCCTTGACGAGGTATGAATGCAGAGAAATTCAGAAAGGTGTGTGGCACAATTAAACAGTTTTATCCTGATCACTGTTTTTCATAATCATGAGGGCCAAAATCGAAACTGAATTTTAATTAATTGCTCTGCATTGGTTAATAGTATTACGATGAACTAGTAGCGAACTTGACTTGGTGCACGTGTAGGTTGAGAGTTGACGAATCATTTCTTTTTTTTTTTTTTGAAGTCGAACATTATTGGTAGGGACATTTCAGTTATTGTGGATGCTGGTGGGGACACGTCCCCTCCATCCATGCCAATTCCACACCCAATACACCGGTAAGCTATGCAAAATATTGTTCAAAATCAATTTATTCTAGCAATAATGATATCAGGGACGGCACGGTGGATCAGTTGTTAGCACTACTGTCTCACAGCAAGAAAGTCGCTGGTTCGAGTGGAGTTTTGAGTGGCATTTCTGTGCGTAGTTTGCATGTTCTTCTTGTGTTCGTGTGGGTTTCCTCTGGGTGCTCTGGTTTCCCCCACAGTTCAAAGACATGCGCTATAGGTGAATTGAATGAACTAAATTGACCATAGTGTATGAGTGTGAATGAGTGTGTATGGATGTTTCTCAGTACTGGGTTGGAGCTGGAAGGTCATCCCCTGTGTAAAACCTACTGGATAAGTTGGCGGTTCATTCTGCTGTGGCGGCCCCTGATTATTAAAGGGACTAGGCTGAAGGAAAATGCATGAATGAATTGTGTTGGGACAACATGAAGGAATTATTTCGAGCATTTTTAGAATGGCAAATGTGATTTTGCTAGAATGAACCTAATAACTGTTAATCAATGAATTTAAAATAGGCAGCAATTACAGCCGACGCTTCATCATCCAGCAGAACATTGACCCAAAGCACACCGGCAAAATATCAATGCAGTGGCTTCACAACAACTTGGTGAATGTCCTTGAGTGGCCCAGCCAGAGCCCAGACCTAAATCCTATTGAATATCTCTGGAGAGAGATCTGAAAATGGCTGTACACCATCGCTTCCCATCAAACCTGATAGAGCTTAAGAGGTGCTGCAAAGAGGAATCGGCAAAAATTCCCAAAGACAGGTGTACCAAGCTTGTGGCATCATATTCAAAAAGACTTGAGGCTGTAATTGCTGCCAAAGCTGGATCAACAAAGTTTTGAGCAAAGGTTGTGAATACTGATGTACATGTGGTTTTTCATTTTTAATAAATTTGCAACAATTAAAAAAAATCTTTTTTTCACATTGCCATTATGGGCTATTGTGTGTAGAATTTTGAGGAAATAAATTAATTTAATTCATTTCGGATTAAAGCCATGTGGAAAAAGTGAAGCGCTATAAATACTTTCCGGATACACTGTATATTAGTCTTTCAAGAAATTCAAAATATGCCACAAATATCTCAAAACATCTGAATTTATTTAAAACGTATTCATCATTATGCTTCATTAACCCATCCAAAAATTTACATTACTGTCCCACTACCCACAGGGCATCAAATATATGGCAAGGAACTACAGTAAATGTTCTTCTGGCCTGGGCAGTGTCCAGGACTAGTGGAGAGAGAGAAGGAGAGAGAGCAGTCCATCTGGTATTATGGTTTGCCACATGGTGCCAGGCTAAAGAGCCCGTTTAGATGCACACAGAGCGGCTACAAGAGTGTGAAGTAGCCATGTTGGCACAGATAGGATTAGCACGCACACACACACATACTAACACATTTACAGATCACAGTTAACAGTTAATCCTGTTGGTGATGCTGGGAATTTAGCTCCTGTGTGTCGGTGCCAGGATATCAGCACACACACACACACACACACACTTTATTACTCATGGTCCATTAACTGTCACGTCGGCACTCCCCTTGATGTGACGTCAGAATGACGTCAAACAGTATGTCAGCACATTCATGGCAGTGAAGGCATTTAAGTTGTTTTTTTTTCTCTTCACCACTACAATAAAACGCAATGCTTAATATATTATAATTAATGTAAATCGTTTATTTTAGCTGTAAACATCGATGTAATGGCTAATCATCGACGTCTCAGCTCTGACTGAAGGACAATGCCGTGGACATTATGACATAACCTTTCATATCTTGACACTGGCCGCTGTTTCCAAAGCTTCCAGCAGAGGACGCGCGCCTTCTGTTCTCTGTCCCTTCACAATATGACCGGCAGGTGGCAGTATTTAATAGCATTCAATCACTAAACATATCTTTCAAATCACAAACATACATCTGAATGATTATAAATCATGGCACCATATAAAGAACCAAGAACATAAGCTAATATGTTTTCAGATTATTCTCAAACACTTCACTATGATTTCAAGGAAAGTGAAAGTAGCATTTACAAGCAGCACTGAAGGAGATAAACAAAATTTGATTGGCTGTTTAGAAGGAAGTGGTAGCATTTATAAATGCCATTACACACACAGTTGCATGACTTTGGTTCCTCTTCTGAATGTGCCTTGTACTATTAATGTTGATGGAAGCTTGCAGTGGAAGAGCAGCAGAGGTAAAAGATGGAAGATTAAAGGGGGAAAAGGAGGAGAAAGAGCTCTGTCATAACTCTGGACTGGTTTCTGAGTTTGCATGTGATCACATTTGTCAAGATATTTCATTCGGAAAGGATACATTTAAAGAAATAGCATACGTTATTTTTGTAATTATTATTTTTCTATAACTATTATTAAAATGGCCAACAAAATTTAAGCTTCATTAAAAGTCCTTTCTTTAACAAGAAAAGTGACAAAAACACAATAAACAGCTTAGTATTTACAATGAAACTGAAGTGCCAGCAGTTTGTAAGGTCTAACAATAGAAATGTGAGGTTCATGATTTATATGAATTATTCAAACAAGCATTAATTATTTGATCCGTAACATTGCCAAAACGTTCCTTTTGAGGCAGGACTATTTTTACAGGTGGCTGGATGGATGAATGGATGTCTGCTGGTAATACATTACTAACATCATTTCTGTGGGTGTCCTGGTTTTACACAAGGCTTCTTCACAGATAAATTTCACATTGCTTGTGTGTTTCTAGATAAAGATCAAGTTTAAAGATTTAACTTGCTTCCGAAACAATTAAAGAGCCCCTATTATGGGTTTTTGAAAATGAGCTTCCATGAAAACATCCAGCTGAAGTTTAAATCTGAAAGTGCACCGTGTTTAAAACTATTGATTCTTTAATGAAATAGTTGACTCAGTTGAAAAAATGAATCGTGTTGGATTCGGATCTTTTACCTAAACGCGTCAACGTCGATACAGTGTATCACCAAATATGTAGTACTGGTTCTGGTAAAACATGAACGCGCCTTTCCCTTCAGACACTAGTGAGGTGCAGGGGATCACGGGACTGATCATGATGCGAAGATGATGATCATTGACAGATGGAGATTTGGCTGTGGGAACAAAAGGATTAAATTTTCACAACAACACTACAGTATAGCCCACTTAGTGCTGTTTGTTCCTGTAATTTTTCTGATGATTGGTACATTAAGCTATGCTGAAATGTGGGATTCGTCAGCTGTTTGCTATGAAAGGAAGGAGCAGCAGATACTATTATGTATGGGACTTTGTCAGACTTTGACAAGGACTTTGTCAGTAACTGTTACAGTTCATATGGACCAGTTTCTTCTTCCTCCAGATCATAACATGCCAGTGTAATTAAAATTGTTGCCTCGTTTTCTGTAGTTTGCTAAGCATGTATTTAATAGTGTTTTGCCAGTTGTAATCACTCCGCACGGCTTGTAATCGCGTATCTATTATAGATCAGTGCTTGTATTGTATCTCTCAGGTTAAATATTTATGGGCTATTTCACATATTGTGTCCAAAACCACGTTGAAAACACAATGCGTGCGTCTTCCTTTACAGTTTTAAATGCGTTTCTGAACTCGTGATCCTCTGCTGTTTGCGTTTGCTTTGGCCACCATCAGCTGTTCCTCACACACGTGCCAAGGTCAATTTTCAAAATAGTTTAACTTTGCTACTGTGTGGATTAATACTGAATGTGTGTCGTTTTTATTACTTGGAGCTAGGTTTAAGAGTAGAGTAATATGCTGGTGTCTAACTGCATTACTTTACTGCATTCCTGCATTGGGCTCTGACATACTCTGTGTGCTACTTCATAGCTGTGGCGCGCATTTCTCTCTGTCTCATGCTGAACGCAGTTGACCAATCACAACAGACTGGGTCATCAGACCAATCAGCGCAGATTAGTTTCACGCTAAGGAGGGGTTTGGGAACAAATGAATTGCTGAATAAATGATATGGGAGTTGTTGGGATAATCAGGTAAAAATAAATGCATAATATCAGACAATGACAATGTTCTTGACCATGCACGCATATCAGCATGTTGTTGGAGACCCCCAAAACCAAAAAATGATCTTTTATAATGCATAACAAGGGCTCTTTAATACTTTTAATATGTTTTTAAAATGTATACATAATTTGATAATTAGAAATAAAGTTCTCAAGTTACTACAATTAAGTGTTTACTTTTTTAAATTGAAGTAATGCTTCATAGGATTAGCTGTTTTTACTGGATTATCAAATGATTAAATAATTGCAGCCTCTATAAAACATGCTGGCATGAGTCAACACTTTTCACTGGTAATCAACATTAGGCATTGGACGACAACCATTTTCAAGGTGTCTCGAGGTATATTTCAGTGTCTTAAAAAAGCCAAAAGTTTTCTGCTATACCGTTTCTAAGGTGTGTGGAAAATTTTTTATTTACTTTTTAGTTTGTTTTTTTAAGCAAAACAGTGTCTCCAGCAGAAAACATATCTAAAGAGGCTGTTTTAAATCGTTAAAAAGTCTGTGTTATTGAAACAGCAAAAGTCAATGATTCATGTGAATTATTTAGCCTGACATGTTTAATGCTCCAAAATTCTTTAAAAAAAAGTTTCTCAAAATAAAATACTTTGTGTTCAAAGGGGAAAAAGTTTTAGTTTTTTACCCTTACATTTAAAAAGAAAATGTTTTAATCACAAAACCGTGATAATTTTATCCAAGGCCCATGCCTATTCAACATGCTGCGAATGCTGTCAGCACTGAATGCAGAACATTACTTTGGCAACAGAGATAACTTGAAATATTAATGCGATGGTCAAAATACAGGCGTGCAGCATAGAACATTTTGTGTGTGTTACTCCGCTTCTGAGATTCGCAGCACAGGTGAGCTGAAGTGAGAGGTGGCTGGAGCTGAACAAGTGCTCAAGTAACGCACAACATTACTGGATGAAGAATCCAGCTCCTCTGCCCGACTGGTTGTCTGCTCTTTGTCTGCTACCGTGGGCACTAATGTTGGCATAACGTCTGGGCCCAGTAGGGATGAGCCACAGCACGCCATGTTTTGCATGTGCTGACAGAACACTTCCAGCATTTGGACCTCTAGATATCCATTCAGCATGGAGTTGGTCAGCCTTTTCTGCCAGTCAGGGCTGTGAGCGGATTCCATGACTAGATACTCCTCGTCTTGTTGGGTCACAGCCTGTTGGCTTGGCTTCAGAGAGGGCTCCAGAGAGCTCAGGTCCTGAGACTGAAGCAGCGGCCCGTCATCTGCTGGGTCTGGGTTTTGAGGACTCCAGGGCTCCAGTCGGTCACCACCAAGCCGAAGATCCGGATAGTCCTTGTAGATGCTGGGACAGCACCAGGAGCAATACACTGACATGCCTAGGCGATCCTCCCTGTCACAGCTGTGAATGGGCATGGCTTTACTGGGAGCAGAGGCGCGGCACTGTCCTGCGTTCTTCAGGCTTTCAGGTCTGCCAGCTTACAGAAAGAGAAAACTTGTCAGGCACCAGCTTCATCTTAACACAGCACATAAAATAAGCACATAAAACAGCGTGGAAACTTGAGAGAAAGCCCAGAGTCCAAAGCAGAGTCTCACTCTGCGGCTCACTTGATTAACTGAATGACTGAATGTCTTCATACAAATGCCGCTTTTGTCCAATTGACTTGGACACTCACCTCAATGAGAAAGTACTTGGAAAAATTTGACAAAATGTTCTTATTTATATACACTGAATTTCAAACAGACTCTTTCAGATTATCATAGCTTTGAGCAACTCATCCCAATGCATAAAACGTTCTTTGGATCACTCCTATTCATTTTAAATAATTGACTCTGATTGGCTAATGAAGATATTTTCCTGAAGATTTTATCTCCAACTCATTTGGTTTTGATTGTTTGGAGCATAGACTATTAAAAAATGATGGACGACTCTTCTCTACTTCCTTCCACTGTATAAAAGTGTATCAAATCTGTCTCAGCATGGCCTGTCATTGTTTTTATGTAGATCCCAATTCTGCATAGTAGTGATTTTAGGGCTGGGCAATAAATTGAAAAGTAGTCAAAATTAGGGTTGCACGAATTACCCGTACTATAGTAGTATCGCAATACTATGGCTCCAAAATACTGCCGTTGTCACTGTACTTTGTAAATGGTAGTATCGTCATTAATAATCTAAAATACATAATGCTGCATGTGGAAAAGTCACTAAAAATCCCACACGCTTGTGACACAATAGACCATTTTACTAGAGAGTCTGTGTAGCCCTTTAAGTTGCAAAACTGTAGAATTTACGCATTTTATGGCAGCCTATTGCAGGTTTTCTGATGCTTCAGTTCTAACGCAAATCTGAATCTGTTCATTTCTGTTCCTGTCAATATGATTTAGTAGCTACAACAACTGTGACAATCTCTTAAAAAGTATGACTCACAAAGTGACATTTTTAATTACTTTGGATTGTTACCTGATAAGACTGAAAAAAAAAACAATAGATGAAAAAACCAAAATAGCAACAGGAAACATTAAAACAATTTTTGAACACTTCATATAAGCAAATTGTGTTGAAAAAATGCTCTTTTTGTAACGAATTTCAATCGGTATAATTGGTTTCTTTATTTTAATGTATTTTTGTTATTCAGTTATCTATAAAATAAACAAAATTTTAGGTGAAGTTATGTGCTAATACTTTTTGTTCAATAATAAGGAAATTATTAATTAAATTCAACTAGGCCTATTAAAATGTAAAATACAGTATATAATACAGTCCATTTTCTTTTTTCATAGGTTTGAGTTATGAATTACAGTATCGCAATACTACTTGGTATCACGATACTTCAGCTGGTATAGTATCATAACGTGAATTACTGGTATCGCAACAACCCTAGTCGAAATCGACATTCACAACTTATAATCAATCAATTTTTTTCAGGATGATTTTCCACTTACTTTCTCTACCATGTGTGTAGTCACATGACCCCGTTCTGTTAAGGCTGATTAATACTTTTGCAGCCACATCTGATCTCTGGTCAAGTAGGACGATGGACCCATTCTTGAGCCTTAGTTTGCAATACATGATTGGAAGCTGCGCCGGAGATGCCCAGAGACAGTATATTGTCATAACATTCAAATTATTATTTACATAAAATTATTTGCTTACAGAAGGTGCAAGAAATCCAATGTTTAAAATATTATTTACAGGATATACGAGAGTTATATTATTTCAAATTAATTTTGTTTCCAAAAGTGCTATTTATTTATTTATTTATTTTATAAGAAAGATTGACTGTTCATTTTAGACAGTGTGTGTTTTAATTTCAGTTGTTCAACATTGATGTTCAATAGATAATCATAGATGGTGTGTGTTTATGTAATGCTTCCTTCATTCAAACATCTCTCACTTGTAATATGTGAACATATTTACTGTACAAAACTTGTCAGTGAACTATAAGGGCAAGGAAAATCACTCAATAATCTTAATCGAGTTCAAATGTTCAGTTAATCGAGATTTGATTTTGAAATTACCCAGCCCTAAGTGATTATTGGCGTTAGGTAAGAATTAGTATCATTCAAAATCCCACACACCCAATCGCAAGCATGCAATCGTGAGTATCAGATCAGCAAACATAAGAAGAACACCTGAACATGCATCAGCGTATGTTGGAGAGCTGGTCTAAAAAGCTTCGGTGCATCTGACAATTGAATATTTCCCTACTATATGTGATAGTGTGTGAATTCAGAGTACTCTCAAAACACAAGGTGCGAAATACGCAGATGACCTATAATTTCCACTGAGAGTCTGAAGTGTGCTTGCAGAGGAATCTTTAATATCCCATGAGGCCACAGGAGAGGATGGAAGTGAAGCTATGCTGGTAGTAGACAACATGGCAGATAGCGGGTAGTGCATCTGAATTCAATACAACTTATATTCATGCTATGTTGAACATACTTTTAACAGTCATTATGTTCAAATTCAATAGCACATCGACTACTCTGACAGTATGCAATTTCAGATCAAGCATTTAATTAGCTGGACGAGGAATGTTTAAATAGTGTTTTATTAACCGAGTAGTGACGTGATTCTCAAAGACAACATATTTTATAATGGTGCATTTTGTTTTTTTACTGGTTTACAATTTAACCTCAATGTGTGAGCACATGTCTATTAAAACACACAGTATACGTCCAGTTTTCCTGAATTTTTAGCTAAAGATATAAAACACCTATTTTGTAAGATAAAGGTTCCTTTGAACACCTACAGACACTACTGGTAGGCTACATTACTTGAAAAAAGTCTTGTCGTCTATCCAAGTTTTAGAAACAACAAATAATAACTTGACTTCTAGTTGATCATTTGATATCAGAAGTGGCTTATATGAAAGGCAAAGGCCTCTAGATTATGCTGATTTTACCAAAATAAAATATCATGCCTTGATTTTTAATGATTTAATTAGGACAGTAAGGTCTGACTTTGCTTAGAAATCTTGTTACCCAACAAAAATAATGTACAGTATAGAATATAAAGTCATGGTGCAGTGGGAAAAGAATTAATATCGTGTATGACTCCCATGAGCTTGGATGACTGCATCCATACTTTTCTGCAATAACTTAAATAACTTATCAATAACGTCATCTGAAATGGCAAAGAAAGCGTTCTTACAGGACTCCCAGAGATCATCAAGATCCTTTGGATTCATCTTCAATGCCTCCTTCATCTTACCCCAGACATGCTCAAAAATGTTTATGTCTGGTGACTGGGATGGCCAATCCTGGAGTACCTTGACCTTCTGCTTTCAGGAACTTTGATGTGGAGGCTGAAGTATGAGAAGGAGCGCTATCCTGCTGAAGAATTTGCCCTCTCCTGTGGTTTGTAATGTAATAGGCAGCACAAATGTCTTGATACCTCAGGCTGTTGATGTTGCCATTCACTCTGCAGATCTCTTGCACGCCCCCATACTGAATGTAACCCCAAACCATGATTTTTCCATCACCAAACTTGACTGATTTCTGTGAGACTCTTGGGTCCATGTGGGTTCCAATAGGTCTTCTGCAGTATTTGTGATGATTGGGATGCAGTTCAACAAATTATTCATCGGAAAAACCCACTTTTCCAAATGATTAACTAAAAGTCAAGTTATTATTTATTGCTTTTACAAGCATTATTTAGGGGTTCAACCCCCACCCCATAATTGGCATACTGGTTAATTGCTAAACTCTGCTGGACAGTGGGCCTCCAGGAAAGAGTTTTGTAACCCTTTTTCTAAAGTGTGCAATTATTTCCAGTCAAATGAACAGCTGAAGTACTTCAAGTCAAATCTCCACTACATTGTAGTTCCAAACTATTAAACCACTGTTATTTAGGATACAAATGACAAACTGTGAAAATATAATTGCTTTCTTTGCTCACCTTTCATACATAAGCACACTAATACTGTACAGACAAAGCACTTGCAAACTGAACACTTTTTCGTTGCTGCTTTTCTTTCGCAACTTAAAAGCATATGTGCATGGTCAATGAGGGTTGCCAATCAGAGACAGTTGTGCTTGTGCCATGGTGGGTTCACTATTTACATGGTGGAATTTGCAACTGCAAGAGCAAAACACTTCAGAGAGCAAACCAATCTGCTCATGCTCCAGGTTCTGAAAATGATAACTGCATTGGGCTAAAACTAGCCAGTAAGTGTACGATAGGGCCCTTTGTATTACCCTTATTTGTGTCTATCAGCGCCTTTTTACAGATTAAACATGCAGAATCAGCAATTCATGGGTTGTAAAATGTCTCAGATTTGATCTGCTGTTCTGCATCTGTTGGTGTGGAGTAAATTAGCTTTTAAACCGGAAGCCTACCCTTTTATTAGCCCCCATGAATTATTAGCCCCCATGTTTATTTTTTCCCCAATTTCTGTTTAAAAGATTTAGTTTTTCAACACATTTCTAAACCACAGATGAACAATAGATGCCCACATTAGCTATGTTTCCATCTAACTATTTTTTTTAGTGCATTCTGGATTATCACATACATTTTTACTTTTTACTAAACTTATGCACATAACTGAGAAGAATACACTTTTTATTTGACGAGAAAAATGTGCACAAACTATAGTGGAAAGAAAACACTTTCACAGAATAAATTCCAGTAATTTCAGTATTTGATATTTGGCACCAGTTTTTCAGAAAGAGATTTTGTTCTCTTTGGTTCATTGGATGGAAACTCTGCATTGCTCGCAAATCTTTTATGCAATATTCCACGTTTGTGCATAAATTTAATTAGCATATTTGAATACCTATTGACTTGTGTGATGAAATTTATGCAATTTAATCTTAAACGAGGCAATCTAACTGATCATCATTTTTAGAGAGAGAACGTGCAGATGTTTTCTTGTGTTTTGCTTTCTAGTGTGTATGTTTTGAGCACCTTTGCATGCACAGTTGCAAACACACTAACGAATAGACGATTTGAAATGCAGTGGGCGCATAAACATTAACTTGCACATACAAATAAAAAGTATACTTTGGGCTTTAATTTGTCTTTCAGTCTGTAATAATTGCATTAGTGACTGCAATTGTTTGCAAATCAATAAATCATCCCTTTGTCGCTATCTCTAAAATGACCTGTTAAACTAGCATTGGAGTATTGTGATGAGATGTGGTAGAAAATAGTGCTGCACAGTGGAACATTTGAAGAAGCATATGACATGAGTGTAATAACTGTAATATTTATGGAATAGTTGTCTCTGGTCCAATTAATAGCATCTCTTTCATGGGAATGCATTATTTGCTGATAATGCAATGACATGTTATTAATTAATCCTTACATAAACAGCTGAAACACTTTCAATTTAGTGTTCTGTAGATAAATTCAAATGAAGAATTTGCATAATTGATGAAAATTTTGGGTGAACTGTACTGCATTATAATTAACTGTATATTGCTCTGCTCAATTTAACACTTGCATATGTGGCTTTACAGTCGGTTGGCTTCAATTCTCAGCAGCATTGCACTTCCTTCCTCAATTTAATTCTTACATGTGTTTGCTGCTCCTGGGCCACATTCACAGTCTATAATTGATACTGCTTCATTTTTAAAAAAACTATTAATTTTCCTCAATCATAGCAAAAAACATCCTAATGCACTCAGCTAGATCATGACTTTAAAAAGTATTCTCATCTTAATAATACCAAAATCTACATTCTCTCACCTCTCACAGTTCGGGGTGTCAGAGCTGGTCTGGCAGTGGCGTTTGTTGCGTCAGGACAGGTAACAGAAGGAGATGAGCGTGCACGATTGTATCCGTCATGATTTGTGGCTTCTTCTGTGCAGTTCAAAACATAAAGGGAAGCTTCTCCTAGCATGATAGTGACCTACACACACAAACACAGCTCAAGCTCTAGTGAATGAAAGTGTCTGATGTTTTCTCAGAATAAAATACAAAAGCACAGTTTAATCAAAGTGAAGACGGCAAAATCAAACACTCAAGAAGCACTGAATGAAATCAAGCGGAAATGAGGAATTTACCAGAATTGAATGAGTTATGGAAACTTCATCCACAAATGCAGTGACTGCACTTCCTTAATAAATGAATAGCTTTCATCAGATAAGTACAAATTACAAAAGACAAAAAACATTTTATTAAATTGGAATCACTTTTGATTCCAAAAGTATATTCCAAATAATAAAAACAAAAATAATTGTTTTAAAAAAAACTGCTTTTATTCTAGCTGGAATACAGCTAAAAAAGTATTTCTCCAGAGGAAAAAAATATTATCAGACACACTATGAAAATGTCCTTGCTCTATTAAACATCATTTGGGAAATATTTAAAAAAGAAAAAGGGGGTTTAATAATTCTGATTTTAACTTTATATGCTATTATCAGAAAACGCAATAGAGTAAAGTTAGTTTTAAATTCAGATATTCAGACATGCTCCTTAATAATATCATTTCAGAAAAGTATTCTTTGCAAATTCTAAATAGGGAAATCATATTAGCAGCAAATGACTATCAAAGTACAACATTTCTTACTGTGAATTAGTGTTAATGTTGTTTATAAGTCATGCTGGCATGCTAATTCCAATCGAATATTCAGAGTAAAATGGTAAACAATATAGAGACTGCTAAATAAACGAATGTGCGAATATAAAACCAACTTTACCTCTATGAAAACGTATATGAGATGCATGATTAATTTAACAGACACATGTAAATTTATGTTTGAAATGGCCTTTTTAAAGGATAGTTCACCCAAAAATTTCATTTCTGCCATCATTCACTCCTTGTTTACTTGTTTTAAACCTTTATAAGTTTCTTTCTATTTTTAAATATAAGGGAAATTACTTTGAAAAACTTTTAACCATTGACTTTGTAATTCCTACTATGGCAGTCAATGTTTACGGTATTTCAGCTTTCGTCAAAATATCTGCTTTTGTTTACAACAGAAAAAAGAAACTCGTAAATGAGGTAAAGTTCACACATTCAGATTTTCTCCTAATACAATTTCAGAAAAGTATTCTTTGCAAATTCTACATTGGGAAATCATGTTAACAGTCAACGACTGTCAAAGTACAACATTTGATCACAGTGAAATAAATAGTGCTTATATTGTTTTGAACAGCAAATTTTCATATTTGGTTGAAATTTCCCTTTAGGTCTTCAAGCATGTGGATGTGATGAACATAAATGTGAAACAACACCCCAATTTTGTTAAGAGGCATTCTAAAAAGTTCTGATAATAAATAATTATTCACTGTATTACTGAATGTTGTAATATATGTTTAAGGTACTTACCGAATGCTTGTTTGTATGGCTGCACAAACAGAAATATGATGACTGAAAGTAATTCCCTGTAATGTCCAAAGAACAATATCTCTTTGGGATATTCCTTTCATCTATCTGTTCTGAGATGTTTTCTCTGGGCTTTTGTCTCTGGTCTGGGTTGCAACAGAGGAAGTAAGCAGTTATAGATCACACACACACACACCCAAACACATACACAGATTAGGCCTCAGCTGTTTGAGCAAAGCAGAAGTGAGAAAATCTTGTCTGCTCTTCTCTATTATAGACATGCACTCACAGAGGCACATTTTGTTTCATTATATTAGCATGTTTTCCTAGAAAATGCTCATAACTTGATATACATCTGCTCACCTGTTTCAAACAGTACAGTCAGCAGCAGTAATTAATGAAGTTACAGGAAGATGCAGATGTGTTGTGGTGATTCAGCACATGCAGACACAGTAAGAAATTAGCTTAAACGTTCATTTTCACATATGTACTGTACGACAGAACATCATTTAGTGCAGAACATGCTCACACGGGACTGTACGTTTTGAACATGTTGGGAGGGTATTTTTACAGGAAGATCCTCCGCTGGATTTACACCTCAGGATTTCGCGCGTAAAAGCAGAGCGGAGGTAAGATTCTGCCTCTTCTGTCGCGAGCCCAGACGCGCGCTGATTGGACGAGCAGAACATCAGTCTCAGCGCGGTGCCGCCCCCACCCTCCCATTCAACCACTGGCTCTAATGTAGCCCTGTGTTTACTACAGAATTAGTGCATAGCGGACGACAGTCTCCTGAACTGTGAACTCCGAATCACAAAAGATAACCTGTTAGTTTTGCATAAAAGGAGAAAAATACCCCAAACTCAACATGCCCAAGAGAAAGGTATGTAGAAAAGCCGAGCGCGGCGAACGGCTACACTTTTGCCCTTACTAATCAGTCGTGAAATTAGGAAGCCCTCGAGACAATGTTTTTTTAATAAAAATCCAGGCGACTTCTTTAGCATCTGTGGGCAGATAAAAAATCGTTGTTAATTTGCCGATTTTTCCTGGCGGATCGCGGTGTTTTTGTCGACGGTGGCGCGTTCAGCAGGAGGGTTTTAGTGGAGCAGCGCTGTGCTGAAGCTCGGCTTGATCTCATGCCCGTGGAACCGCAGCCATGCTGCCCTCTCTCTCTTGCTCCATCTCCAGCACAGCGCGACGGCAAAACCGACGATTATAAGCGCAATCGTGCCTCTGCCGCCGTCGAACGGGGATTAAAAAATAGCTGGATAACTCTAATTTTCGTAATGGGGGCAAATTGGCGAAAAGGCAGTCGGGTTTTTAAACAATTTCAACGCATTTTCTTTGTTCGTGGTGGAAGAGGGGTGTCATGACGCCTGCTTGCCGCCAGGTGGCAGCGCTGAGGCGGGATCATCGCGCCCCTCCTCCTTATTCAAATATGTGGAGCCCGTGTCGTGAAATGCCTTCTTGAAAAATAATAAATAAAGAATCTGCACACCATTTTGCTTTCCCGTCCGCTGAGAACTAAACTGAAACGTAGTTCACCGTGTGAAGACCATTCAAACACAAATAAAGAGAAGTACAGACGTTTTCTGACAGGCCAGCATGTTGCTCACATTTACAAACGTGCAGAACAGCACATCCCAATGTTTCTGCTAGTTACCTTTTTGTTTTTCCCGCCATTTATGTTAATAATATTATAGGTCATGTTCTAACTTGTGTTATCTGTTTTTGTTGATTTGCAGGGAACTGATGGAGAAGTCAAGGAGGAGGTACGAAAAGAAAACCTAAAGCAATTTTTGGGTTGCATATTTAAGTAATCAAAACCAGCACAAATGCATTACTCTGTATCTACATCTATTTGTTTAGCAGGCAGTTTTTCCATAATCAAATGAAACACCACAAGCAGTTTCTCATAATAGCCAATATTATTTGCTGTACATTGTGGCACTTTATAGCATAAGCTTGCATAGTTCACAAACAAGAGATGAAGTGAAAAGAACAAACTTTAATACACAGGACATGCAGTTAATATCTATTATTTTGTGCCTGCACTCAAATAACATATTTATTTCATTGCTCTTGTAGCCTCAGAGACGGTCTGCAAGGTTATCAGCGGTAAGTTGATTTCTTTTTAAATGTTACCATTACTAAATTATGATGAGATGAAAGAATTAAGGAACGTTAAATAGTTTTGAAAGTTGTCTTGAGTTGATTTTTGAGACTTTTTTTTTTTTATTGAATTGTCATGTTAAGCATTCGGGATCGAACAGAGCCGTTCTCTGCACTATAGTAAATATATTTGACCACGATAAATCATTGTTTCCATTTCTATTTCTGTTCTGTTTTTTTTAACAAATCCTGTTTTCTTTTCCCTTCAGAAACCAACACCTCCAAAACCTGAACCAAAACCGAAAAAGACTCCCAAGGTGCCTGCAGTAATAACACTTTTAATAAACACACACACACGCATATGTACAGTAAATCTATCGCTTGTTTTAATATAATAGTAGGTAATATTTTGTGTATCTATCTATATTCATTATTTGGCTTTGTTTTTTATCTCTCTGACAGAAAGACAAGGAGGTGAACGATAAAAAGGAAGATAAGAAGGCAAAGGGAAAGGCTGACGAATCGAAGGAGGAGAACCAGTCAGAAAATGGGGAGACTAAGACCAACGAGGTATATAAAACAAACATACACATCAGTTTACCTCAGATCAGTGTCTATCAAGTAAACTTGTCATTTGTGACATTGGAGGGGAAAATAAATATGAATCTCCAGTTGTTTGATGACAAATAAAAAGCCATCAAAACTTGTTTGTTTTGAATGGAAATTCAGTACAGATTCATATTTCTGTCACATTTCCTAAAGTACATGCACTTGGTAACAGTTAAATTCTTAAAACAAGGATACTTATTCTATTTTCAACTTCTCTATCTGTTGAGAAAGATTTGGAGTGGTGTAAAGTTGTTTTATTTTAAATCTTCGTATTTTTGTTTTTACAGGTTGAGAAAACTGCAGACGAGGCGGCAGAGGGCGAGAAGGACGACCCGAAGACAGAGTAGCAGCACGCCTGTCCATCCGTCCATCCATTCTTTCCCTTTCCTCTCTTTCTATTCTTTTATCTTCCCCCTTTCCCTGTTTTCTCTCTCCCTCTCCAGCTCTCTCAACAACCTCCTCTCTGCCCATCACCACCAGAGGAATATTTTTATCAGCAAATTTGTAAATACTGGTTCAGGTTTTTAGCACAAAAAACAAAGCTGACTAAACGAGTCTTGTGTTCGGCCGCAGCTGTATCAGGTGTCTACAACACGAGAGGTGCGGAAAAAGGCGGCGTCCTTCTTTGCTTTTGTTGATTTGTCTGTTTTTATTTCTTTTACTTATTTTAAGCGGATGGTCTGTAGCGTGGTTTTGGAGTGGGAGGCGGGAGGAGGCTCTCAGTCTGTATGTCCGTTAGTGCTTGTGATGTTGCTCTGGAGTCTGTGATGTTTCTGTATGGGGTTTGTTTTATTTTGTTCTTTTAAACGTAATGGATTGTCTTTAAGAAAGAGGAACGAGTTTGAAAATTGTAGAAGAAAAGAGAGAAAACAACTAAAGACAAACTGCTTACATTCCAGGTTCAGCATTAGATGGTGACTCCTGGCTTTTTAAGAATCGTAACACCTTTACAATTTGTTGAAACAGGTAACTGGGCTTTGTTATGAGGCCAGAAAACCCCTTCTGTTGTTATAGAGGACTTTTTTGAAATTATGGGATTTAAGACACAAAAAAAATTCAACGCGTTTTTGAAGTTTTTTTAACACTGAAAATTCATCTGTGAAAAGTACCTAGTGTCCCCTATAATGCTCTCGGTCTCACTCAATAAAAATCCATCATTGGAGTTTTCCTCAAAATGACTGCTGTGACTTTTTCATCAGTTGATTGCTGTGTATTGTACACTGGCGTATATACTGGGTTCCACTGCACATGCAGTTTAATAATCTGCTGTTATCTATTATAAAGTAGTTGCTGCACTATTATAACTCATAGTGGATTTCAGCACTGGCTCACAGTGCATTTTAAATGTTAACAAATAATTTTAATTGCCTCAGTACTTCACAGTGGAGACAAACACCTTAAATGCAAACACACGATATTGCTCGACAAATAATCCGATAAAATATTTTTTTACTCAAACTCGGTGGAGAATTTTGCTGTCATTTAAATGTTACTACTAATGTTATTCTACATACATTTGAAAAATTCAGGATATGAAGAAGACTAACCTTTAAAAACTTCATTTCTGAACTATATGAGCGTAAACAAGACTTTGCTGGGATGATAAAGGATTTGAAGTTACTGTATTAATGTAAAGACCAATATTTGTTTTATTTGTTATTTACACTTAGAAATGCATAAAAATGTATATTTTGTGTTTGATAGAAAAGGAGGAGAAAAAAGGATTTCAGGCATAAATACAGCACTAAATGCATATAGATGGCTATAAAAGATTATTTCGGTTCTTGGTGTGGTACTAGTTGAATGTATTTGAGCATCCATAACAGCCTATAAATATTGTTGAGTTTATAGCTATGCAGAAAACATCATATAAGGAGGATAAAATCTAAGAAATTCCGTTTACATTTGCATAATTTTATTGTGGTCAGGTGTATAATGGACAGTAAATTATAAGCCCAATCGTAATTACATTCAGAAATATGATATTCAACCTCAAGGATCTATTATGTCTGCATATATCCTTCCTTTTATCACAACCTGAAGCTATGGTGGCTGTATTTTAACGTTAATTCGATATATGCCTATTACATAATTGAGTTATGTAAGATATGACTTATAAATATTGCGTAACACATGTATACATTGATTAGAGAATGACACAGATAATGCGTTTATCCCACAGACGCGTTGCCAGTGATGTTTAGGATTGTGTTAAACACAAGATCAGCAATTTATTGCGATGCAGCTGTGCTACTAGTTTCAACACATCACCCTTCTGTCACACCATTGCAAAATGTCCGCCTGTGGAAATGGTGAGCTCACCTGTGGCCTGTCGGCGCGCCCCTGGCGGTGGCGAGTGGCTCTGCTGAGCACTGTCGCGCGACAACCGCGCGGAGGCGCTCAAACAAAGCAGCACGAGCGGCGGCTGCAGGCCGAAACGCTGAGAGCAAATACAACACAGGCCGCTCTTAGCAAGCAGAGCCCCGTGAACCTCCACCCACCGCCCGGACCGGGCCATGGCGGCGGAACCGTGCTCGCAAATAGAAGCCGGTGGGTAGCACTCTGGCGTTTATACAGCGTCTTTATCGTTAGGAAAACTTTAAAGACTGTTTTAGCATTAGCCTGCAAGGCTAAGCTAGGCTAAGCTAAAGCTAATGACTGCTGTTGTGGTGTTTCTCTCCCTGCAGAACTTTACTACCTGATCGCCAGATTCCTGCAGTCTGGACCATGTCAGAAATCCGCTCAGGTGAGGCCGAAAGTGGCGTGTGAGTGTCGGTGTGTAGCGGCGAGTGTGTGTTACGGTGTGTGTAA